GCATCAGAAAATTCAGTCAGTTCAAAGTCACTTAAAACGTTTTAGTTAGTGTGTGAGTTAGCCTATTCGGCAGTAATTCAGTCGTCGAATTACTTATTTAGTTATAATAATAAGTAAATACACAATACCTTGTAAAGCAATTTACAATAAAGTATAAATTCACATTAATGGACCAAATTTATGTGGATAATAATTTCGACATTTCACGAGTATAAATACTATCTATATAAATTTGGCATTGTCCCATTGGTGTAGATTTGAAATTTAGTTATTCAGTGGCCAGAAAGGTAGTCAGTGAGTCAGTCAGCGTATTTGTTGCCGATAGATTACTAAGGAAATTTCGCTTGAGTTAAACCTACTATTAGCTTCGAAATTTCTGTAGCCTGTATAGAACTTTTTTGGAGAAATAAAGTTGTTGCTATTGTACTTTTTAATTAATTATTCAGCCAAGTAGGTTACTCACTAAATATTAAAATATTTAATTTCTTATATTATAACATTATTTATTGTGAGGTTATTCAATATTAAGAAATGTAAGTAATTAACGAGCTTGTTATTTTTCAAATATAAACAGAAATGTTCATTTAACAGTTGTTGTTTTTTTTTTGTCCTCCCTCCCCCACTGATAAATTTCTCTCTTTGTAAAAAGTGCATTAAATTGTACAACATTTCAAATAATATATCATTTCTCTTAAAATAATTCGTATTATTTAGCTTTTACTTTCATGGCAATGGTTTCTTTTTTTGTTTTATTGTTACGCATAAATCTGTCTGTACTGTGACCACCACAGGAATCGAATTCCAATTTTTATGATACTGGAATTATTTTATAAAGTTAGGCATGAATTTCACTTTTTTTCTTACATTAGTTTATTTGCTTATTTTAGTGCTAATCAACACATTGGGCTGTCTGTGCTCAGTCCATCATGGGGAATAGAACCCCAGATTTTAGCGATTTCAGTTCACAAACTTTCTACTGACCCACTGGGGAACTCTTGCATTAGTCATCAGCAGGTTTTTAACTCTTATACAGCACTAAGAGCTACATCTGAAGCTTGTTCATCAGCATCACAGTGTGGCCTAGCTAACAGTCCCAAGCTGCAGATCAGTAATTTCAACCTTCACCCCGTAATGCCAGTGAACAAGATTCACTTGCAGCTATGAGTGCGTTATAAAAGTGACAATTAATCCCGTTATTTGATTCAAGACTGAACAAAATAGCGGCGATTGCTGCTGACTAGCTCCCTTCCTCTCTGATTAGTGGTTCAAAATGTGGGATGGTTTTACCTGAACCTTAGGGGTTTTTCAACCTGGAGTTTAGTCCTTGCATGCATAAGATACGGTTCAAATTGAAATTACCAGTAGCAAACATTTATTTACACCTGCATTGCAGTTGATCAAAAATATGAACAAATTATAACTCTGGTATACTGCATAATTTTAACAATGACTACGAAATTATGGAAATAGGCCTTACCATTGACTTAATTGTTGTTATGTTGGTCTCATTTAGAATTATTTTTTGGAATTTTTACTCTTTTTCGGAATAAGATAGGTCTAGATTTAGGCTAATTAGCAGTAGGGGTGTGTGTCCATAGAGGTGGCGTGTGGGTATATTTCCTGAAGAGCTCTGACCTCCCCCATCTGATATCTCAGGATTTAGTCTTTTATGACTTTTAGATTCTCCCTAGTTGTGACTCCAACTAACATGAAAGCATTATTTTTGTTGTGGGCTGGCAGGGTGGTCAAACTGTGTAACTTAAACCGAAAGAAGTATATCCAATCAGAGGAGACCTAGGGTAGTCAAACTGTGTAACTTAAACCGAAAGAAGAATATCCAATCAGAGGAGACCTAGGTGAGGAGGGGGTAATGGTAGCATGAAACAGCATCATACCGCCACGAAGTTGTGGAAAGAGAGCCTGGGATATTTTTTATAATTAAAAATAATTAATAGACAATTTTTCAAGGCAAAAAAACCTATTTATTTTATATTTAATAACATTTGACTCTTTCCAAGCCAGCTGTCTCTCCACCAATAGGTGCATAAATTTCTAAAAAGTAATTTAATTTAAATTAGAGTTCGAAAATTGAATTTTATTAGTGTATTATATTCGTGATATATATATATACAAATAAATTCTGAATAGTCCATAGTGGATTGTAGTGTGTTATGCTATCAAGTGAAATATATAAACGTTTTATTATAATTCCATTCCTTTGGTCCATGTATATCTTTGTGTTGTTGTGATATAACATTCGTTACAACTTACAACACATTAGGCCTAATCATCCAAAAAAATTTTTTTTCATTACACCCTGCCGTGATTAATATTTTTGTTACAAAATACTGAACTGCTCTCAAAATTTTGATTAAATACTTACAGCCTTTAAAATGTTACAAGAATGAGATTTTAACAGCCAATGACCAGGATTCATACAAAAATATCACATTGAAAATTAGATCCCAGAAGCGATGTTAACAACAATTATTCATGACTTACATGTAACCTAATTATTAAAGTCTTTACAGCACAGCAGTTCATTCCTAGACAATCAACAAAAATTTGTCTGAAACTCTTGCATTAAAAAAAGATACACTTCACAACAATTTTAATTCGTACTTTTTATTGTTAACCTTCGTGTACAATAGCAATAATTTTGCACGTACACACAATACGAAATATAACATATTTTAAACAATATAACAACTTTATTCAGTTTCTAAACACTGATTCTAAGACAGCTGAAAGCCATGAAATCAATGCTATTGCTTTCCAACATAATATATTAAGTGATTTGGGCTCAGGTCGTTCGTAGAGTGCTAAAACAGTGTTGTTCTGGGCACGGTTCGTTCGTAGTGTGCTAAAACAGTGTTATTCTGGGCTCACGTCGTTCGTAAAGTGCTAAAACAGTGTTGTTCTGGGCTCACGTCGTTCGTAGAGTGCTAAAATAGTGTTGTTCTGGGCTCACGTCGTTCGTAGAGTGCTAAAACAGTGTTGTTCTGGGCACGGATCGTTCAGATTGTGCTAAAACAGTGTTGTTCAGTTCGTTCGAAGTGTGCTAATTATAATGTTGTTATTTTGAACTTCCCTGTTTAATTACAGGAAACATGTGTTTAACAAATCACTTGCGATAGAATATAGTTATTGTAGTCAACTTTATGCAAAATGACAATTATTAATGTTCAATAATTTAAAGAAGCTGAGATCTTGTCCCCCACAAGTGTTGGAAATCCATAGACGTATCGTTGTCCCACTGGGGGACGTTAATTGTTTTAATTAAATGCCCCTATAACGTAAGCAGGGGAGATAAAATAATGTATAAAATAAAAGAAACAAAACAGAACATATTGTAGCTAATATACCAGCGTTTTTAATCCACAAGCCTGTCTTATAGAAACGTTTTATTAAATAAGTATCGATACTAAATACGTGTAAGTACTAATGTTATTAATGGGCTATAGATATTCAAACAATATAACAATCTATAATTTCATTCTCACGATAAAATGGTCTAAAGTTTCGTGCCCATAATAAAAACCATTTAAAGTTTCGTCCTCACGATAAAACGGTAAAACTGTTCGACAAAATCTAACAGTTTCATGTTCAAAAAGAGACACGTGCTTTGTGCGATCCAGCTACAAGGATGAAACTGGTAAGATATAAGTCTGTTTCTTTCTCCTTTTTTTTTTTTTTTGTTTCGTTTTGAGAAGTTTCGTGTCAAATAAGTTTCAAACTTCAATTTCTTCTACCTCTTTTCAAGATACAACAAAGATTACAAGTTATAAAGAATGATCTTAAAGACAGTTTAAACTATAACAGTGGAAATCCAAGGACGATCTGCAAAAGCTGATCAACTTCTTTCAACCTGTGAAAGAAAGAAAGAAAAAAGGTATATTTAGTATAACATGTAGGTAACACTTAAAGTCATTTGAAAAGGTATATTTAGTATAACATGTAGGTAACACTTAAAGTCATTTGAAAAGGTATATTTAGTATAACATGTAGGTAACACTTAAAGTCATTTGAAAAGGTATATTTAGTATAACATGTAGGTAACACTTAAAGTCATTTGAAAAGGTATATTTAGTATAACATGTAGGTAACACTTAAAGTCATTTGAAAAGGTATATTTAGTATAACATGTAGGTAACACTTAAAGTCATTTTTGTTTTATTATAACTCTGGGTATAATAAGCGCCGATCTACAACTGATACACTACATGAATTATTTGAGAAACATTGTTAGCGTTTATCACGTCATTTGCTATAGGGTCCAGCTTGGTTAATATATACGGACTGTGCCCCTGAAGATTCATGGTTCGCGACACACACTTTGCGCTCGTGGCTGCGTTATTAGAATAATAATCCAATCCCACTATTCGGTCAGACAACAGATTAACTGTCTTTCCTCTAGCTTATCAGTTCAAAACTAGCGATGGCTATATGCAGATAGCCCCATATGTAACTATGCACGAATATTGTAAAACACAAATATTTGCTACAGGAAGTGCAACGTTAGACTGTTAGTAAAAATATATATGTATATAATAATTAAACGTTAAAAAATCTCCAGTCAAAAGTATTTTTGTCAGATTGGAGTTACACAGAAAATGAAAGTTATAAAAAGCCCATACGTTAATTGTATTCGTTTCAAATATACAACACATATATCTGTCCAATTATTTGACTGTCAATTTTTCAACTACGTTGAATTTGTTTGTGTTACACACACACACCCTTTGAAGTATTGTAATTATGTTGCCTTGAATTGTTTTTATTGTGATGTGAAAATGGAGTCCATTAGGGGGCAAAATATATCTTCATAATATAGACATTAAATAAAATGACTTTGAGTAGAGATTTATAGTGTCTAATTTTTATCATTTTACTTATCAAGTGGATTGAAAGTCTTTAAAATCCACAAGTGACAGCCATTAATGGGCTTTCATTCTGATGTTATGCTTTCCTGATAAACTTACCACAAGATTTTACATTCCTATATAGGAAAATCCGAGTCATCACTTAAGATGAAACAAATTCCAGCATACTAATCCAGACGAATTTGGAAGTTTACTTCGGAGGAGAAACTGTGCATATTTAAATAAGTCACATAATTAGATGACTGTATATTGGGAGTAATTAGCCTACCACAACCATACAATTCTGATCTTTCTTAGATCTCCTTTAAAGTCTCGTTGTTTACCATGTCAAACGAGATTTTATAATTACTTATAATGAAAATGACATAAATATTAAAAGATTAAGATCTTTAGTGTTAAAGAGGAGAAATGAAATTCACCAAAACCAGTATAATTCGGTCACAGGTGACGAATGAATGATAGACTGGGCTTCATATTTATTTTTAGCCTTGTCTGCTGAATATTTCTGAAGAATATGTAAATTTAGGTTCAGTGGTGAGTAAAATACAACAAAAATCATTATATATATATTAACGCCACTGTAATTTAAATACATTTATTTACAAACATAAAAATGATTAATTTGACTTTTCTTATTGATCATATGTTAAATTGATTTGACAGGATCGCTTTCTAGGAAGTTATTTTCCAATAATACTGGCCCCCAGTGGCACAGCGGTATGTCTGCGGACTTACAACGCTAAAATCCGGGTTTCGATACCCGTGGTGGGCAGAGCACAGATAGCCCATTGTGTTGGTTTGTGCTTAACTTCAAACAAACAAACCAATAATACAATTTTCTTAGAACCTTTAATATCTCTATGTCCCCCGGTGGGGCAATGATAAAATTACTGATTTACAACGCTAAAATATGGGGTTAGATTCCCCGCGATGGGGACAGCAGGTAGCCCGTTGTGGCTTTGCTCTAAAACAACAGACAAAGAAACACACTTCCTCCAGTTTTTAGAGGTAAAAGTTCGTAAACAACAACAATAAAAATAATGTTAATGTAAGTTTATACAGTTGTAAATATATGTTTGTTTGTTGGCACAAAACTAACAACGGACTATCTGTGCTGAGGCCATCGCAGTTATCGAACCCCGAATTTTATCATTATAAGCCCTCAGTCTTACCGCGGAGCCATCGGGGAGGGGGCACTTAATCAGAAAGATGTTTCAGTATGGCGGAAATACTCAGTTGACGTGTTAAAGAAATCATACAATAAACGAGTCATTAGCTTCGGCTGCAAGTCATATATATGCGTGTGTTATGTTGCTTTTGTTGAGGATGTTTGTGCTGTTGTTGTTGTGCAGACTGTTAAGATTCTAAAAGTTGTTGATATTGTTGCTCAAGTTGTCGTAATTATGAAGACTCAGGTCATTTTCTAATCTCTTTTTGGTTAAAAATGTCATTTACTAATTCTGGAGATTTTTATAGGGGTCGTTGGAACACTTGGGTAGGTTCATGATTTTAAGCAAAGATGTTAATTAAATGTCAATAAAAGTAGATATACACATTAATTGATCTATTTTCAACTTACCCTGAAAATAAATATTGTTGTTGTTGAAGGGGTAGGCCGTTTTCTTAGAAATGTTTTCTGTTGTTGCCACGTGATGTGGCACATATGATGACATCATCGGATTGGTGGAGGCTATTTCTGTATTTCTGAAATTTTGTGGGTTTCTCGAGTTACTAACAAATTCATAAAGTAATCTTTGTACAAACTCTTTAGGATTTTGCTGAGGTTGTTTGGATTGTTGTTGTTGTTGAGACTGCTGAGGTTGTAAAAAATGTTGACGTTTTAGCTCCAGTTGTCGTAACTGTGAAAACTGGTGTGATCTTTTTATCTTTTTTGGCTGCTTAACGTATGCTTCAGTACCATTTGAAAAGAGATTTACAAAGTTTGGATCCTTTTCCTGAGATTGATGGGAATTTTCTGGTTGTGGTGGTTGTTCAAACTGCTGTGGTTGTGAAGGTTGCTGTTGACGTTGAGACTGCTGAAATTCTAAAAGATGTTGTTGAGATTGTTGTAACTGTCCTTGAGGCTGTTGTGGTTTTGATGGTAGCTCTGCTGGTTTCGAACTGATAGTGCTCTGAGTTTGTTGGGTAATTTCACGGTTTTGAGAAAAGATATTTAAGTCATTTATAAAACTCCTAACGGGTTTTTCTATTTGCTCTTTCTGCTGTGGTTGACTATGATATGTGCTTCTTATGCTCTCGTCAACAAAGAACTGAGAAGGAAATAACGAGCTATCTACTGTGGAGTTATTTCCACGTTTTCCTGCCAAGTTGGAGTTATTTCTACGTTCTCCTGTCAGGTTAGCAGTTCCTTCCATGTAAAAAGTATCTTTACGTCCATTTCCTCTCTGGTCAGAATCTGAATACTTCTTTTCGTAATCATATTCATTCTCTGATAAGTTTTTCATAAAATTATGTAAGTTTCCACTAAGTTTTTTATGTTGCAATTGCTGAGGCTGTTTCTGCAAGAATTTAAAACCAGCTAATGTTTCTAAGACATCAGTCGAATATTTTGAAGCTTTACTATTTAGCTTATTGCGTGATTGTTCAGTTTTAGGTCCAATTAAAAGTGCAACAAGTTTTAAAATCGCTAGTGTTTTGATGAGAACCTCGCTAGAGTTTTCAGCTGTTGAACTGCTGTACGAAATACCCAACTCGTCCATCATGTCTTTTATGAATCTAGGAATTCTCGTTTGGTCAAAATTTGTATCAGAAATTCCAAGATCTTCCAGGCTATCATTCACAAACTGCATCATTTCTAAATCTGGTTCGTTGACAAAAATTGTCAAGTTTTCGCGAACAGATGACTCACTGTATGGAATTCCTAGGCCATCTAAGAAATCCCTTATCCACCTAGGCATAGGTTCAGCATTTTGGGTTTGATTAGAATTTGCATTCATAATCGTTTGATTTGCATACCCTGATAAAACAAGTTGTAATAACGCATGGCCCGTGTTTTTGGAAGTAGCACTGACTGTGTCTCCATCCTCATCTTTTCCATGTGTTGTATTACCAAAGTCATGAAGGAGATCTTTCACAAATTTAGGCAAGAATTTCTCACTCATTTCTGTGTAAGTTCTTTTATTAGTTGATGAGTTATATTTACCTATGGAAATCCCTAAATCCTTCAAAAAATGCCTCACAAATTTTGGAATGCACTGAGAATAATTGCTCATCTTAGTATTTGGGATTACTGTGTAATTCCTTTCGTGACTCGAATTTTCGACTTTAGAATAGCCTAACAGTATCTGGCGAAAAAGGGCTTTGTTTGCTGTTCTTTCTAACACTGCCATTTTATTCTCGCCTATTGGTAATGCAAGGTTATTTAGAAGGCAGTTTACAATCTCTGGTATGAAAATATCAATTCCTGTATTATTTCCAGCAAACGAAAGTCGTTTTAAAAGAGTGTTTACAGGTGAAGAGAAGAAGAAGGGGTTAGTGACGTTCTGAAACGTTCCATAAGAAAATGAATGGATCCCAAGTTCAAAGAGTCCAGCATGCGATATATTTAGGTTTCTTAACATGCGTTTAATTGGCTGTGGGATATAACTGGAAGTGTAAGCTGATTCCTCAGGACCACCAGACCTGTAAGGACCATGGAAAGGAATGTCCAGATCTTTCAACATCTTCTCGACTGAGGACCAATAATTTAGTCCTTTCCTGTTATTTAGAGGTGTAGTTCTATTGGTATCTAATGTATCACGAGTTTGATATTTTAAAGGATTTCGCAGTTCTTGAGTCTGCTTCTTTTGTTGTTTCACAGACTGCTGAAGAAGTTTGGCTTGTAAATCTCGAGCACCTTTTATCAACGCCAGTTGCATCAGTCCAAGAAGTTCAGGCGTAGACAATAATGAGTCGTTTTGACCGCTTAAGGCTAGTTTTTCTTCCTTAGAGAGATAGGGGACGTCTTTTTCTAAGGGAACTCGAGGAAGACTGGGTTTTGGGGGTGAATCATCCGTTGAAGAATTACTAGAACTCACTGGGCGGGTTGCAATCAGAACAATCACAATTATCGCAAAACATCTGAAAATAAAATATATTTAAATGATTTTTGTCCTTTTAAACCTAAAGCTATATAATAGACTGCCCGCCACAGATATCGGAACCCAATTTTTAGCATTATAGCCTCATTTTTACCGCTTAACCAACGTGGGGAGACGTACACAATTGAAAAAAAGCGCCATGGACGATTGTTTGTCCCTAATTTAGCAGTGATACACTAGATTAGCTTATTAGATAAATCTTTAAAAAATAATAACTCTTAGACATGGCTAACGGAGATAGCCCTCGTGTAGCTTTGTGCGGAATTTAAAAGCAAACAAACAAAATACTATTGGGGTGACCACCTAGCGGAATAGTCGTTAATAAGTTAATTAAATAATTAATATAATTTATTTCATTTTATAAGAGAGGTTGGTGAGGGAATTCTTAATTATAGACGAACGTGTTTGAGTTTATTATGTAGGCTGTAGTGAAAATCAATGCTTTAAACAATTGTATTTTAAGGAAAAGCCAAAGTTGAAATTTTAACTAATTGGCTCATAGAGGAAATAAATAAAACTTTACAGAAGTGATTACATTCAAAAATAGTACAAATTAAGACATAAATTAATAGTATACGGATATAATTAGTTCGAAATAATTTGGAATTAGCTTGCTAAATATTTTAACTATCTTTAAACAACAGACCCCACAGTGGCTCAGTGGTAAATCTGCAGCCTTACAATGCTAAAAGTCGGGTTTCGATACCCGCGGTGGGTAGACCCCAAATAGCCAAGTGTGCAACTTTGTTTTTATCAGTATAGAAGGGTTTAAACACTGTATTATAATTGCAAATAGATTTTACATACAATTAGATTATGAGTTATAATGAAAAAGAAGTAGAAATTTGAGTTTAATTTTCTAATAGTTTTGCTATATGCTAGGAATGAAAAATCCCAAATGTTATTTTTCTTCATACGGCTTTTGAAGCCTTTATGGCTGATGGCTAATCCATGAAGTTCTGACAGAATTGTACATATCAGAAACATTCTTTTACTTTTTAAACGTAAGTTTCATTTCACACATTACACAAAAAATTATCACGATGGGACAACATACGTCGTTGCAATAAAAACAACTGCTCGACGACATTTGACTGATCTTCTCGTCTTCATGCTCCTCCTAGCGGTCTCAGAGGAAGATTTTAAAAGATAAGTGCTTTCATCCATCGAAAAAATGTTCATTCTTGAAAAAAAAGAAAAAGAAGTTGTCAGAAATGACTGAATTGTGTTCTTACGTTTATCTCTCTTTTTATCATAACATTTTCAATTATACCAAACATTGTGCTTATTGAAATTCCATATGATGTTTGATAGAAACGCTAGATGCCTGTAACTAGCAGGATAGTCGGTAGAAACACCAGATATAAGTGGTCTGTCACTAACAGGATAGCCATAAGAAACACCAGATATAAGAGTGCCTGTAACTAACACAGTAGTCAACAGAAACACCACATGTAATTGGGCTTGTAACTAACACAGTAGTCATTAGTAATTTCGGATATAAATGGTTCTTTACAAAGGTTGCGAACCAATAGAAACATTAGAATAAATGGATTTTTAATAAATATAGTTTTAACAACGTTAGTGTTAATCATAAAAGCAAAACGAACAAATAAACATTTTTGACAGGCAAGCATTAACAAAAACACCAGAGTGATTCCCTTCCCGTGAAACAAAGTTTTCTGAATTATTGTATAACAGATGACTGTAAGTAAAATATTTTTAAAACCATATCGAACTTTGAGTGAAATCACTTGTAGATCTCTAGTTATTTTTATTATAATGCAGCCGCGAAATAGGGGAAAACTGTGTTAAATGTTCACAGATTGCATGACTACAACTTCTAATTAAAGACTGGAAAGAAAATACTAAATTTCAGATTCTATTAATTATATTATACCATTACAAAAACATTATCACGCGATCAGCTGAAGTTGAAAATGAGACAGTTTCTGTCCTTGATAACATTCATCACATTTTTAGATATACTACGTATTGTTCAAAATTACAAGTTTTTTTATCCTTTTGGAATATTTTAGAATCTGAAAAGAGAAAATAAGCTCTGAATAAAAGAGATATTTTCAGGTATTTATACACATTGACAGTTGACGTATGTCTGCTATGTTGTCGTAGAATGAAATGTTGTTTCGTAAAATCAACAACATTTTATCGTTAATATTCCTACTTTATAGTATATTCCAGTGAAATAAAAAATGATCAATATGGTTATACTTTCAAGATAAATGAATTGGTCTCACTTTAGGTATTCTGATAATGTGAACTTAATAGTTTCCATCTGTTACACCTTTTCGCTAATATGATATATCTGAAACGTTGTCACATTTTATTATGACCAAACTTATTTCATTAATACCGCCTAAGTACGTTTTTACAGTGCATAAGAATTATAAATTTGTTTTTAAGAACTAGTTTTATGAATAACTTCACAAAGTGAAGGTGAGTGAACAAAAGGCTTAATTAATGTCTTACCTCCAATCTATTTTCCACAAATATTATCGAAGATTTAACAAGAAAGAGATAAGTTAAATATAAACTAATTTTTAAACCTGGTGCATACCACTTTTGCTAGATCTGCAGTTAAAATGGGGCCCATTATACAGTCACGTGCAGTCACATGATCCATCTGAGACCAGTTTCTTACCTAGAGATTCAGAAAGCTAACCTTGCCACACAGGGGTTCTTGCGTGTCTTGTGATTTGGTAGGTCAGGAGATAATGAGTAAAGAAAGGGAGGGATTTCCTGATACAACAGTAGCGTTCGTTTTGTTCGTTTGTATTTAAGCCCAAAGCTACACAATGGGCTTTCTATGTTGTACCAACCACAGGTATCAAAACCCAGTTTATAGCGTTACCGCTGAGCCACTGGGAGTGGGTAGGGTGAAGAAATAAATATCGCTTAAGTATTTAACAGGAGCCCTAACAACTTGTTCACCTATTCCTATAATCGGTTAAATACTGTTGTTAACTATTCCACAATAAATGAAAGTTCAAGTTCCAGTTTGTAAGGAAGTTTATTAAATAGGAGTAATATAAACAATGGTGTAAGTATTCCCCCGCAAATTCGGCGGTGGGAGGGGGGAAAGGATCTAGCCAATAGGGAGCCCAACTCGTCGCTACAATTATAGGAAAATAAATGTAAGAGGCCTAATTATTTTTTATGCAGGGAAGAGCATCTTTCGTAGTCACGCCACTGAACATTTTTTTAGAGAGTGAAGGTAATTAAAATATAGGACCTAAAAGTGTCTGGGAAGTCTAAATATAATGATAGATTTACTAGTAGTTGGAAACAAAGATTTACTATGACTAGAATTTGGTTTTCAGGTGCTAAAATACGAGTTTTATTGTTAACCACTAATGAAGATAGGGTCTCAAGAGTTGAAGTGAGGGATCATTTGAGAAAGAATGACCACTGCCTAAATAAGTTTGATGTTATGCTACACGTTGAGATAAAAACAAATGAAAGTTTAGTTCTAGTTTTCAGTAAGTTGATTTTCATATCATGAGACAAAATTTATTTATCATTAGTGAATTGGGATAAAAGATAATGCTGAATAGATTTGGGAAATGTTTAAAAATAAACTGCTATTATTTTTTTTCAATATAGGCATGTTCCTAAAAGAATAATAAGAAAAATCAAGCCTAATTGGCTTACGAAGGAATATAAAGGAGAAAAGCGGGGATAAATGCCATTTAAGTTCGTCTGACAGTTCTTGTGCAAAGATTTAATAAAAATAATAAATTGATGACTTCAACGTTTAAAACATGAACAACAATTTATTTGTTAAAAGTTAAAAGCAAAAATTACAAGCTAAAAATCTCTGACGTTTTGGATTGAACGTGCTTCACCATCTGGTACATGTTTGAAACACTGGAGTCGGCAATTTATAATTTTCAATAACCATATGTTTTTGATAGATGGATTAGAAGATTTATATACTATACGAAAGCTAAAGATTTGTTTGAAAGTAAATCAGAAAATCGATATCAGTTTATGAAAAACATTCAACAGATAATGTTAAACCTAACAGCAAGAACTTTTTTATTAAATAAGTATTTTAAAGAAAAGTTAGGAAATTGACGAAATGGGGTTGGGCCCTTAAACCTAAAGTTAAACAATGTTGATGGCAAGGTTTTTATTGAAGAGTGCGAGATGGCAGAACTTTTAAATGTTTTATTCCCCCTTTGTGTTTACAAGAGAAGACTTTAGCAATATTTCTAACCTACAGCATTCTATGGGAAGTATTGAAATTGACCTGAATTATGTAAACATTAATCCCTTGATGTAGGGTTTCCAGACTGGGTTAAAATCGAACCAATAGAGTTAAATAGGAGGAAAGGTTTCATTGGGGAAAATATTTATAATTGGGGGAGATGCAGATAAAGTTGCAGAAATTTTACATTATCTGTAGTTAGATTCTCAGAAATATTGAAAACATTTAATCTACTTTCTAACAGTGGGTAATGCGGTGGTCAATTACACAGGCTTTGGTTTTAACTATAAAACCCACATTAGAAGAATATTAACCCTATCAGGACCTAATGAATAATATTTTGTCACCCCTGTTTGTTTTGTTCTCATAATCAACCTAATTAAATGAAATTTGGTACATAGTTTCTAAGTAATATCTGGTTTGTGCATAAAAAATAATATGTCATATTTTAGGTTGTGAAAAGCTTTTATTTTATATCAAAAATATTTCCTCTAGTGGCAGTTTCTTTTTTTGATTATAGTGTGCTTAAAATCTTGTAAATGTATCCAACAATTTTGCATTGATAATTTTTATTTATTCAATCATATTTTATATCCATGTAAAGTATACCTAATAACACTGTAAAAAAATGATGATAATGTTTTTCATTCTCATTCTTGAATAATACATCATACACAAGTTAGGGGGATTTTGAGAGAAGTGTCTGTCAACACTGAATATAACACTTTTTTCATCATTAAGATAACAAGTGAAATCCTTTTAAAAAAAAAGATTAAAAAAAATGAGTAAGTCAAGATTTACCTTTGGTAATATCATATATTTTATTAAATGATTCTGTAAAATTTCTTTTATCAAATTCCCACTAACTGACCTTATTTCTAGGACAAAACTTATTGCCCATTATAAACACAGAGAAAGGTTAGTAATTCTCCAATCCTTGGGCACCTACATACCATTTACTCTGACTTACCAAAAATGAAAAATACTTGCATATCTGATTTTTTTTTAACTTCTTTTTAAAACCTTTGGGAAATCCTTTTCTGTCTTATCAATATTTTTAATATCCTAGATTGGTGTACGTGGATTTTCAAAAACCTTTTGATAAAGTGTCACATAAAAGATTAGCTAAATCACAGTTTCCTTGTTTTCATATTAAGTTGACCAAAAAACTGGATTAATTGATTTGTTAGTATTCTTTCTAATTGAAATTGACCAAAAAGTCTGGTCTCTTATTAAGTTAATTTTATTACACATTTAAATTATTAATGAAATAGGTTCCCCACATATCGGCAAGGGGTAAAGTAAAATAATAAAGAATTATATACACACATAATTGTTTCAACTACAGTTCTAAAGCATGGACAGAAATTTGTGACAATCCATACAAGTTATAAATTCTCTAACTGATATCTATGAGGTTATGGTTTAAATAACAACTAAATATTTTTTTTAATACAAGACAAAAAATAGTTTTAATAATTAATACATAGCAGAGTACAATTAAAGAATAACCATGTCTTGCACTAGTTGACAGCATGTAAAAAGAATATTTTCAGGTTACTAGTGCCCTCTGATGACATCATTTACTCCTATTTGACATTAAACCAACTGGGGCTCTGAAATTAAGGTTGGTTTTCTTGTATCGTGATTTTTAATTGGTCCAAATTATTTTTGCTTTATGCCTTTTTTGTAATAAATATGAATTGAAAGGTCATCTCCAACTTTTTTAACTTAAATGAACAAGGAGATGAAAGATATCCTTCCTTACGTATCTAATGCAGAATGTTGTAAGTTCAACCAAACTACAATCTTAAAGCAGTTTCGTTTGATACTGAGTTTTAATAGAACCTTTCATCTCTCTTTGACTCCAACCTCAAGTAGAGAGTATTTCACGGCTATATCGGTATCAGACGATAACTGGTTTTTCCACCATAAAGATATTTATTCAGCTATCAGTCTGCTTAACTTGTGTTTTAGAAGCCAAAATAGAACTTTAACAGAATAATTTCTGACCTTTCAAGTACACATAAACAAGCAAGGTCTCTCAACAGCTTTGGATTGTCACAAGTTAAACCTCTATTATAGTAACTTAGTTTTATTTTATTTCGCATCAGTTTGAAGAGGAGCTAAGAGTAGATCAGCTTCTTGGAAGGAAACAATTAACCTTACAGTGAATAAAACATTTTACTTCAAGTTGCCACTCAAGGCTAAACATTTCCACCATCCTCATGCAGGAATTTCAAACACTTAGCTTAATATTTATAAATGATAACCGCACTGTGCATGGTTATAAATGTTATTTTCCCCAAAGAAGGGAATTACTCTTTTCTTATTTAACCATTGCACAAGTCACTAATTATTTGTGTGCAGTCAGATAGGATTATTTGTATTCATTACTGGTTCCTTGTTCTGGAATAAACGTTTCTCAAACACTTGTTAGAAAAACAAGTTTTCTATTTCTGCTAACAATCCAAACTACTTCAATTAATCTCCGCCACATATACGTATGTTAGATAATTGATTTTCTGTGTTTTTGAAGATATGAAAATTATTTTTATATTGTTTGAAAATATTTTCCTAAATTATTGGTTTACAAATTTTTGTAGATACTTTCTTTTCAAAATCATCATTCGTGGTTCACAACCAAAGATGTTGCATTTAAGGATTCAACCGAATTACATTCCTCGCTTTGTGAACAATTTTAATCCATATTTTCCCTTCTTCTACAAAATCAACGTTCACTTTTAGCTACAAGTATTTCACCTTAGAAGTTAATCTTATTTGCACATAGCAACACAAGTGATATCTCCACTAGCCATCCCTAGTTTTGAACCAGGTCAGTAGATGAAAGGTTGGTTAACCACTACTAATTCTTGCAGCATTATAATAAAATAGTGAAATTCAACTGTCACTCTCACAAAACATCCATGGCCCCAAAGTCTGGGGGATTCTAACATCCCATTACTAGATTCACAGGACTAGGCCATGCCTGGTCCACTTGATATACTAATAGTAAACCAATCTTTAGAACTTCCTTCGTAAATATTCGTGTATTGACTGTGCCTTTAGACTTAAACATTGGTTTAAACCTCTTTACTAACTAAATCCTCTAGAAATATTTGTTTAAAAGTTTTGTAAAAATTAGAGGTACAAACTATAGCAGAGTGTTAATGTTCTTCCATATAACATTAGATTGAAACACAAAATAGTACTAAGTCCAGTTCACTTGTTACAGCCAATTGGAGGCTTTATGGGTTGTTTTCTTTTAAAGTTAGGGTGGAAATCACTACGTATTTAGTGATATGCATTAGTGGCAACCAAAGATTTAACATATATATTGTATTATACATCTTCATTTATGTATCTATACAGACATTACTTATTATTATTGATTTGCATTCACAGTGATGTATTTTCATGTGTTACTATCCAACATTTTATACTAACAAATTTCTCCATTAGCCCTAATTAAAATTGATGTTGAGGGGGCCGAGTTAAGATATGTTAATTGTCGATAACAAAAGTTTCAATGGTGAGAAAATGTGTTAAAAACATTAAAGTTCCCTAACACAAAATAATAGGTGTTGCATGGCTACCATTGTCAAACTATTTAACAAGTTTTCCACCTTTCCCTAAACTAGTCCATACATGGTTATCTGTGACATATACCATTTTGTGACCATGAAAACATACCTAGATTTACTGGCAAATGTTTTAAATTTAAACATAAACAAACCAACATTGTTTATATACCTAAAATATATTTCATTCTTGTTTGATTTCTCTGGATATTATACAAACAATAAGACATTTCATCAAAACACCAACAAGTTGATTCAAGTTTTTAGGGAATACAGAGTAAATTTATTCTGCCATGGATTTAGGAAACGTGTTCAATGAGAGGGTCAAGTTTTATATACACTTTTCCTGCAGTTTATTTGTTCTGCTTTTTGTGCATCAGAGCCGTAGGAAGGTGCTTTATCCGTGACGAATTTTGATTGGTCATCGGGAGGGCTATTCAACTTTGTTTTTGTAAAGAATGGGGTTCCAGATATTGTCATTCCAAACGGTAACTGTTCCTATGTGAAAAGCTGATTTTAACCTTTAATATTGTGAAATACCATCACAGAATCACAATTAATATGGAATTTCATTATTTTTCAATACTAGGGAACAATTTCCAGTCACTCAGGATATGAAGTTTAGTTGTGATTGAGTTTCCATGTTGTACAGTACAAAATTACGAGTAATTAGTTTAGTTCCAAAAATTCTTTATCATTTTTCAACACTTACATTTTCAATGTATCATTAAAACAAGGGAAAAGTTGACTGTATATTTTCACACATGTAAAGAAATTAATACAATACCTAAAATGACATAGGTAGAATGCACATGTACACTATTACATTAGTCTTTAACTTATAACGAGTGAAAATATGAATTTCAAAATGAATGAAATGAGGATAAAGAAAATCAAAAGCTACACTTTACAGAGTATAATTTTTTAATGTTAAAACTACTATAATTCTTCTCTCATGTACTTCGGCTTAAGTTCTTCAATCTTTTTTATAAACTCAGCTTTCTCTATACACCCTTCACAGACTTCATCCCAATCTGAAAGAATCTTCTTCAGATCCCTAACCCGTAATTTCTTAAGTTCAACATTCTTCAAGTCGATGGTTTTCTCTGTAAATGAACGAAGACAAAGGTTAAGAACGCCTCTTTCATAATTTCTTTACAAACACATCTGAAGTACGCGTCTGCAAAACTAAAAAAAAAAATCAAACGTTAAAATAATACACAATTAGGTAGTAGTGTTAATGGAATTTTACACCAAATTGCATTCATCTGTTTATACTTCGTTAGTCATACATGAATGAATACAAATTAACGGTCACGTATACAATAAAGTTAGGGGTAATATATTAACCGACATGCATAGGTTCAGAGCAATGGTCTGACCCTGTAATAAAGAAGGACTATAAATCCAAATTAATTTGCTTCTTTGATAACTTCATGAAATTTCATCAGAAGAATTTGCTTTTACTGAAAGTTATGTTCTGACATATCACTTTCCAAAACTACCAACAATTTTTTTTACAAAGTAAAGGTGACCAAAAGCCTAATTATTTGAACCTTTCTTAGTCCAATGATGTAAACAGAAGCTGGTCAACAATACCACAGGTGGAAAGCAAAACTTGTAGGCAGTTGTTTTGTCTATTATAAACATAGTTAATCCATCTAATTTAACGGAGAGTTTTCTTAAGTTACGTTTTTGTGAAATACTAAATTTTAAAATTAATAGTAGTTATAGAAAAATATTTTAAAATCTCGAAAACAGCATGTAACATACTCCAATGTAGGCAAGTCAGACAGCAAGAGCACCAAAAAGGGGTTTTTAATCAATAATTTATTAATGCTGTAGAACACTAATAAAATAAGATGAATGACATATCGTAAGAAACAAAGGCAACTGTTTCAACTTGCAACAAAACTTCACATGATGAGTTTATGTAACATTCACATCTAATCCTATTTCTGATGGAGGAGAAGTTCAATATAATTTTTTTTAACTAAGTCACAACACCTGAAAAGACTTACCATATCGAAGCTCACAAATTTGAGAGTCCTTCTTCTTCAGACGCTCACAGATCTTTTCAGCTGGCAATCCCCAGCTCATTGGTTTGGACATCTCGGGAACAATAGATGTAGCAGACTCTTCTAAGCCTCCAATGTAATAGCACTAAACCAAAATAACATCCTGAATTATAGTATTCTGGCACTTGTGTATAAAGTTAAAATCATAAATAATATTCAACGTTAAACTGGTACATAGTTAAAAACATTTTATTTAGGCCTATCTATGGCCTTCAAAAAGTAACGACTCTACGTGTTTCGACGTTACATCCT